TGTGGTAACGGACCTCTCAAAGACGCATTTCCAGATCTGTACCGCTTGGAGGAACACAAAAGTTGCAGAGTAAAAGATAGGATAAAAATCGGAGGTCTGACCTGGGATTGGAGATCACCCCCAGATTCTGAAGATCAGGTGCGAAATCTTAATAGTATTTCATCTAGAATTGGTGCATTCCAGCCAACAGTGAGGTTAGATCATTGGAATTGTGATCTATCCAATGATGGCAAGTACCATGTGGATGTTCTCAGACAAAGAATTGATCATTCCCAACTGGCGGCTAATGAAAGAGTTATAACTTGGATTCATGAAGTTCCAATTAAAGTCACATGCTTTATATGGAGAGCAAATCTGGGGAGAATTCCCACTGCCTGTGCATTGAAGAGAAGATGTGTGCCAATTACATCCACATTGTGTGAGTGTTGTTCACTTGCTGATGAAGATGTTGATCATATCCTGATGCGATGTCACTTTGCTGCTACGATTTGGGGTTATTCAAATGGTGTGACATCTCGGTCCCCCAATTTGCAAATATTGGTGAGTTGATTGAATTTATATGTAGCTGGGGAAACTGCCAGATTCGCAGAAAGAATCTCATATGTGTATGCTATGGCGCCATTTGGCTAATCTGGAAAGCGAGATGTGAATGGGTTTTCAAAAAAAATCGGATCTCCCCGACAAAGATGGTGGATAATGTCAAGTCTCTAGTGTACACATGGGTGAAACACAGGAGAACTAATTGTATGTATAAATGGGTAGAGTGGTGTGTTTGCCCACTAAATGGTTTGTAATCTCCCTGAAAAAAAAAAAACTCTATCATGTTTTCTTCTTTTTGTTTGCCCCGCCTAGCTACTTGCTAGGCGGTGGCCATTTATAAAATATTTGCCGGTTCCAAAAAAAAAAGAGTATATAAAGGTTTTTTTTACATATTAATTTATATTTAATAAATTTATATAATACAATATTTAACTTTATAAATATTCTTCTCTTCTACCCTAATAAATGAAAACACATTCTGCCACTTGTCATTTTCTCATAATTTGTATTTTTGTTTCACTTGCTCCCTAAAAATGACACATAAGCTTTTTCCACTTGTCATTTTTTGAGAGTTTTTTTATTTTTTTTTAAATTATCAAATTAATAGGCATTAATTGAGAATCAAATTATCACCTCTCAAATGAGACGGTTTTCAATCTTTTGGAATTACAATTACAGTTACCTCATATATAAAAATTTAATTTTGTTCATTCTAATAAACAGTAGGTTTAATATATTTTTTTTATTCTATATAGGTTTTTACTTGCCTTTTCAAGTTTTGTAACCTATGCATATCTTCAATAATATTGGAACCAATAAAAATATTTCTTTCTGCATCGTTTGATTTTTTTGTCAATGGGTTGTGTAATCCCAAAACTACAACTACAAGGCATTTGCTATTTTCCTGCTAAGCCATTTCTAATTTTACAATAATAATATTTTATTTTTTTCTATTGATTAAAACTTATTGAGTGGAAGATCCCTTTAAATCCTAAAAAGTGTATAAAAATGCAAATATAAATAATAAATATTAGACATTTAAAATTTCCTTCCAAATAAATGTTTAAACTATAGATTATATAATATTGGCTTTAAGTTTTACATTTATTATTTCTTTTTGTTATATTTTCCTTATAATTTGTACCAATTGTTTTCTAAAACTTGTAGATATTAACAAATTCGTTATTACTTTTCTAATTTGAATTACTATGCAAATTGGATTTCATTAAGGGATAAGTTTACATCCTTAAAAATCAGAAAATCACAATAAATCGGAAAGAAAATTGTATCCAAAACTAAATCGGATGGACCATATGGTTGGAGGCGGTGGTATTTTGACAAAAACTTCTGCTTCTTTTTCTTCTGGTACTGTTCATGTACGATGCCGATGTTTAGCAATTGATAAGTTGGTATTAAAAGTCGATTTTTCAGTTATCTTACTAAAAAATATTGCACAGAAGTGTGGTTTGTATAATGGAATGTGACAGTCTCTATCGAATGTGAGGTTGTTTTTAAGAGAACTAATGTTTACTAATGGACGGCTATATATTGCATTGTTTATAATTAAAAACAAAGATAGATTAAATATATTAATTTTAGATAATAACGGTAAACTTAGCAATAGGACATCTAATGTTGTATTTAAATAAGTTTTTGAAATTTGTGATTCTGAAAAATTATTTAAAATAGGTTAATAGTTTAATTTCTTACTTATTCAACATTTCATTTGTATTTATTTCAAAATTTTAATTTAAAAAATGCTTAACGTTTATACCTTGATATTTAACTTTTTTTACTCAACCCAGGTACTACACGGGTCTCACACAATAGTTGTTGTATATAGATAAAAACTATTGTGTACGAATAACTTCTTATCTAAAACTTTGTTTACAAACTACAAACACATGAGTTAGTGACGGAAATCGATGGAAATTTGTCGCTAAAGGCCTAGCGAAAAACCAGCAATGAAATTAGTGAGAGATTTAGCAATATTAATATTAGTGATGTATTGACTTGTACCAAAACATTTTGGAATTGTATGGCAGTTCCTTACCAAATTGACGTTGCTAATTATTTGTAAATTAATAATTTTCGGTTTTTAATTCTATTCACCAACATAATACTCCACCCGTCTTATATTTATTGTCAGATTTGACTTTTGAAATCTTTATTTTTCAACTTTGACCCTAAATACTTTTATGTGTGGTATATATTATTTGATGAAACTTATAACAATGAAAAAAAAATTAAAATACAATCCATTCATATATTTTGCATAAAATATTATATATTAAAAACAAAAATATTTAAAGTCAAAGTTGAATAATAAAGACTTCAAAAGTCAAAAGTGAATAACAAATAAGAGACGGAGGGAGTAAACGACAGCGGGTTTGTTGAATCTTATCAACGTCTGTCGTACCGTTGACTCTATCTATTCGTTGAATTTGCTTGATTCCATTTTTTATATAGGCTCGCTCCCTCTTTTTCCAAGAATTCATGCACTTCCCTTTCCTCCATAGGGCCTTCTTTAAGAGGATCATAGTCCAAAGCCTTCCATTTCCGTCAAATGACCCGGCCTCCCCTGACTCTTCCACCATCCGGGTTCCCTTTCCTCCCTATACTCCCCTGGCGCAGGCCTACCACGCTTCGCGCCTGCGGCGTTTTCGCCAGACGGTCTTTTCCAGTAGTGTCATCCTCCCCGCTGGCTATATGGGCGGGTTGCCCCTTGCTGCTGCGTCCTAACCCCACAAGGTTCCGAGACGGAGCTTAACCTGAGTGTCGGTTAAGAACGGCGATGACCTATGTTTCACACGGCGTACGATTCCATGGATAGTTTCATTCGAGATCATGATGGAGGACATAGCTTACGATCATCGGCTTTGATCATTCCACTAGGCATTTGATTAGGACATTGCACAATGATCCGAACACTTTGTCGCATCTCTTCGATACGAATACAATAACGATCATAGCGATCTCCTCTGGTACCTACTGGTACGTTAGGATCCGATTGGTCATGAACATCGTAAGGTGCTGCTCTTCGCGAATCCCAGCATACCCCTGGTTGGGATGGGTAGGCCCACCACTTCACTTTCACTTAGGCCCGGGCCAAGTCAGTGGGGGGACCCTGTCGGGCTCCTTCTCCCCAAAAAAAGAAATTGTACGTGAGAGTTTCCCTTCATACGGCTCGAATCATTCTCACATGCCCCGAGAGGCATCCTTTCCTTGTTTGTTGGGTTGGTTCATGCGCGTGCAAACGAGCACCGGCCGTAACAGCAGGAAACTATAACCAATAGAGTCAGACACTTAGCTACATCTGCACGCAAAAGGAATGTGGTTCTGGTTGAGGCTTTCTTTTCCTTATTAGTAAAGGGGGCTAGGGACGTTCGCGGAGTCCGTGCCTTCCGTACCACCGAATGGTCGTTCTTGGGCGGATCCTGCTCCTAAACATAAGGGATAGGGGTCCTGGGGCCGGGCCTACCATATAAAAAGGGTCATAGAAAAAGAACCCGACCACCTATTTCATTCGGCGTTCCGGGGCAGGGGCCCGACCGATTCGACCTACTTTTGCTTTTGGATAACAAGAAGGCGAGCTTCTCTGCTTTGATCAAATCAAAAGCCCAGTCAGCCACCAACTCGGTGCAGGTCACGTGACCTACAGCTCGGCCTTCGCTTTTTGAGGCTTCCTCTACCCACATCTCTATGTGCCCGCAGCACTTCCATATGGAGAAAGATATGCTTACCATGTTCCATCAATAGCACCTAACCTATGTCGATTTTGGCGGACCGTGCTCCACCCCGGTGAACTCATGCGGTTCCATTACGAGCTCAATATATACGAGTGTTATTCCGTGAAATAACTCGAATTTCAAATCATTCACTTGCTTTAACTACTCATGCTATGGATGTGGGAGCATCAACTCCGTTCCTGTGGGCTTTTGAGGAGCGGGAAAAATTGTTGGAATTCTATGAAAGAGTCTCGGGAGCCAGGATGCATGTCAGTTTCATACGACCAGGTGGAGTGGCACAAGATCTGCCTCTTGGCTTATGTCGAGATATTGATTCCTCCACACAACAATTTGCTTCTCATATTGACGAATTAGAAGAGATGTCAACCGGCAACCGTATCTGGAAACAACGATTAGTGGATATTGGTACTGTCACTGCACAGCAAGCAAAGGATTGGGGATTCAGTGGTATAATGCTAAGAGGTCGTGCGACATGAAGACATTGATAGCAATATGGGGGAAGTTCCCATCAGGCAACAACAGTTCTGCCTGACCCTACTTAAGCATGCATATTATGTCAGTGAAGACTTGGTGTGAAGCCTTGGAGCTTACGTTAGAAGAGCAAAAGGCAGGGGGCTAGGGTGAACTGAGGGGGGACAACGTAAGTGAGTGAATGTGTGTAAGCCCAGTCAAACATAACTATTCTAGGCGGGGTGGGCCGCCCACCTTCGAATGGTGTTGGTCCTAGAACTGGAAGACTCTTGTATGTACGGTAACCCTATCTTCCGCTACTGGTGGACTATTGCACATAAAGGCCGACAGAAGCAACGTTTCTTAGCGCGCTTAGCTTCTGCTATAAAAAGGCGGCAAGGCCATAAAGTAAGTGAAGTTGCAAGCCTAAGCCAAGAAGGTACGAACGAAGTGATGGACCCTTTTAGAGAGAGGGGGTGGCTTTCTTGTGGTAGTCATTGCGAACATCTCTCCTCTTCTCTTAGCGTGCACAGTTTGCTTACGCCTTAGGCACATCTATCTTTCTTAGTTTCACGCTGGCCTAATGAATTGAATATGAATAAAAGTCAGTCTTTTAGTAAGCGTATATAAGCAGCTGTTTAGTGTATAAGCAATTCTTTAGTGGTCGCACCGGTACGATGGAGGTTGGTTGAAGATGATGTTACGCGGCGTTCAGAACCAGTCTTGAAGTGAATGAATTAGAAAGAACGAAGAAGTAAGGAAATGAGACGACTCTTTCTTGAACTATATTATAAACAGACCTTCCCCTCCACACCAATCATGAGTTTTTCTCCATTCCTCTCATATATCGTCGTAACTCCCTTAATGCTAGGTTTTGAAAAAGACTTTTCATGTCATTCCCATTTAGGTCCGATTCGGATCCCTCCGTTGTTTCCTTTTCCTTCCGCACCTTTTCCTCGAAATGAGAAAGAAGATGGTACACTTGAATTGTATTATTTAAGTGCTTATTGCTTGCCAAAAATCCTACTTCTACAATTGGTAGGTCACCGGGTTATTCAAATAAGTCGTGTTTTCCGTGGTTTTCCCATGTTACAACTTTCGTACCAATTCAATCGATCTGGAATGGATCGGTTAAACATTCCATTAGGGAGCCTGGTTTTGACTTTTCTGTGTGGTATTCATTCTCGTTCGGCTCTTGGAATCACATCCAGCAGTGGTGGGAACAGCTCGCAAAATCCAACCACTTCACCTACTTCATTGCCCCCAACCCTTTCTCGTACCTCTATTGAAACATAATGGTTTCATGTTCTTTCATCGATTGGTTATTCCTTTCCGTTCGTATCTCTTTCTCCAATTTCGGTCTCGATTAGTTCACAAGATTGAATGGCCAATTCTCCTCTGGACCCTCGATTCGATTGTTTCCCAAGAATGTTGAGCCGGGTATGTAAGCCATGTATCTGGGAGGAACTTAAAAGAAGGGCTTTCGGTTTTTTTCACCCTGTTTTGTGGTCTTGCAGCTATTTAAATAAATAAGAATATATATATATATATATATATATATATATATATATATATATATATATAATAAGACTTTTTTAGAAGAAAGATTCTATATATGTCCAATCCCTAGTGGTGGTGGGACCAACCAAGATGTATGTCATCCAACCCAACCTCAAACTCTTTCTTCCCGACCTATTTGACTCTCTCGCCGCAGTTATAGTTATTTAGGTGGTATCCCGAGATTAAAGAGATCGAATTCCTCCGAGGAACACACGAAACAAAGATATGAACTGGGTAAATAGAAATGGAAAAGAGATGTTTCCAATTCATCAAAATGAGAAGCTTTTTCTACATCCATATGATCTACTAAAGTAGATCGGTATTGCCCATATAATAAAAGCAGATCTTGGTCCATGGAATCCCAAGAAGGTAAGAACTCCAACCTGTCAGATGCTTCTTCGGCCAAATACGATATACAAGTGGGACCTGCACTATGCGCAAGCTGTGCGAAAAACCGCTTCTTTTTTCCGGTTCTGAAACAACTTGGGCGAAATAGGGTTCTACCGGGAAACCATGGATTTTTTTAGTTTTCGCCATTGGTTACTGGTTGAGCCACTGGAATGGAATGAGATAAGAATCTCTGGAGATCTTTCCTCTCCACTTACTCGTAACAGGCTTTCCCTCTGTAGAAGACTTCTTCCGAATGGCATAATTGGGAGATTGATTCCTCGATCTTCAAAGAAAACTGACTCCTCCTACTCCTTCTTCTCCTTTAGGATAGGATCGTCGTTGGTCCTTCTTTCACTAATGATCTCACCATTTTCTAGTAGTTCTCGTGAACCCGCGAGGGACTATCCTTTCTATCGCTTGCCCTTTCTTTTCACTCTCAAGACAAGGCTCTCTCTCTTTTATAAAGCGAAGCAAAGCGCATGGCGCTGAAAGCTCAATAAACACAGACGAACACGATGCAGGGCATAACATAAATGAAACCGCTGATCATTTCATAAAACATATATGCTTGACCTTTCTCGATTCTTTTTTTGGGCGACTCACCAACCGACCCAGCAGTGATCGATGACAGAATGGTACGAACAAATCAAAGTCATTGGATTTAGTAGTTCTTCATGGACTTCTCTCTTTAGACCTTTGTATATGTTCATAAATGGGTGTGCACCTCCAGATGGGCGGGGGCCGACCTCCCACTCTCTTATCTAATGCAGCATTTATTAGCGGTTGGGTGGATCGTGCAATAAGCCTCTCTCGACCCTCCGTTTCTCATACGTCTTTATGAAAGCCTCTCGCCTTTCGAGATCCGGTCCATCATCAACTCAGTCAGATCTTCTTGTTTGCCCGCTTTGATTAGGCTTCCTTTAACGGATTTGATCGGCATTTCGTGTTTGCAGTCCTGCTGAATTCGACCTTTTATCAGGGTAGCATAGTAAGGTTAGAGGCGCAACTAGAAGATTTGGCCCTATTTCTCTTTTTTGATCAATTCGATTGCAGTCTCCGAAATCCTTCTTGATCGATGGTCCCCATTAGCATTAGTGCTAATTAGCAGCCGCTTTTTTTGGAAGGCGAGATACTTACGTGTGACCGCGGATTCCACGGTAGCAGTAGTTCTAGCTCTACATTAGGAGTAGGGGGCTCTATCTAAAGGAGGTACGGATCCCTCCCATAGTACGGTACGATGCAACTGAAAAACTTAATAGGCTACCGCGGCTCGCTTCGCTTTTGTTGCGGAGCTCACTGCTTTTGGAGTAGTGCTTGCAGCTTGCTGATTTCTGTTCAAGCGGAGCTCGCTGTCTACTCCACGAGTCGCCACAGCTTCGCCTACGCCACTTGTATATAGACAACAATAGCGCCCAAGATTTCCCCTTCACGTAGTTCATTGAACCTTCCAACTTCACTCTGTGGCCTGTGCTAAAGAAGCGTGTCTTAACTAATTCCTTTGAACTCATTTCACCTATTCTACCTCTCGATATCTCCTCACCTTGCACCTTTTCTTTCTTTTCCTCATCCCATGATCCTTTCCCATGTCGTGGAAGTGAGCTCCTTCGTCGCTCTTTCATTCTTCATAACGACTATAACCAAGCTGCCAACCAATAAAGCAAGCACCTTCATGGACTGAGACCGTGGAAGCTCCGTTAGCACCTTAAGGCTGTCTTTATCCTGAGAACCCTCAGGAATATTAAGAGACTCAGCTAATGCTTCTAGGCCCACATTCGGAGATAGACCAAGCACCTCTCTTACCCACTCACTATCTAATAAACCGGACTGGCTTATTATCTGAATGAGATCGGAAAGAGAGGAGGTAGCCCAAATCTTCCAATAGGCGCATACGAAAGGTTCTGAAAGAATTGAAAAAGCTCTGAAAAATAAACAACCTGACCTGAGGAACTACCAACAACTGAAGAACTAGTAACAGCGAGAGAAACCGTTTCTAACCTCAGCTTCACCCCCTTCCTCGGGATTCTTTCTTTGATGATATGCCCTAAGCCCCTTTCAGAAGACCGAAGTCATTGGTGCTTTGCATAAGGGGTAAGAACGCCATAAAGACTATTGGTACCTATCATAGACTTGAATCATTTTATGGGCTTGAATTCCTTTCCCCGAGTTAGAGGGGTTTTCTAAAGGTCTTCCTCAAGGGCCACTTGGTTCTCAAAATGACTGTTACCCCCGGCCAGAGTAGAAGTAGGCAAACGGATGTTTCTGGGGGGAACTACAGGAGACGGAGACAGGTGGTTAGGCGAGATTCTAACTTCTGGCTCATCGCAATTCCATTTCTTAAAGTGCAAGTCCAGTTTTCTCTTTTTATGAAAGTGAAAGTCAGGTTAGCCCCTTCTTTCAATTACAAAGATGCTCTCAAATTGTTGTTCAAGATTATTTTACCCTAAGGCTTTCTCGCGATCAGGCAAGCGTGGCAGAGCGTAGCATGTATCTAGCCATCCGAACTACTTACTGAAGGGCAAGCACCAACGAATTACTCACTTCATTCACAGCGCGGGGGAGAGACAGAGAGGGGTCATTAATAACTCACAGCCGGGGTAAGAAGGTCCTACTTCCTTACTCACTCAAGTCATTGCTTTGACCAAACCAAACAAGATTATTCCCTTAGTCCTATCTATCCACCTCTCCAGACACAATATCTTGAGTACCTATGATGGTGACCACATCTGCTGGCATGTGATGTTTGGACATAGAATCGAGTCCTTCTGAATGGGCAGAGCCAGGTGCTCTTATTTTACGACGGTAGGGACGATTGCTTCCATTACTGACCAGAAAGACACCAAATTCTCCTTTAGGTGCTTCAACTGCGGTATAGGTAGAAGGAGCTGGTATGGAAAAACCTTCTGTATAAGGTTCGAAATGGTGAACTGAGGTAGAGTAGACCGATGATCCTGTAGTAATTTGGCCGACTATTGAAAGAAAAATCTTGCATCTGCTCCCCCTATTATATAATCGGTCCTATCTCTCTCCAAACCTAACGTGGTAGTTTCCCATCATAGGGCTTTCTATCCATAGATTAAGCCATTACCAAACCAAGGAGCGAATTCGTTTAGAAGTCAGTTGACTGCTTCTATAGATAAGGCGGAGCGTCCTTGGCTCAGCATTATAGCCCTTCTTATTAAGGCTTCGGCCCTACTACAGCGCTTCGCTAACTCGAAGCGCCTCGCTATGAGAATCTAGCTTCGCTAACGTTCGGCTAAGTCTTGAACCTTCGTGCTGACCGTTCGCTTTCTCAGTAGCAAAAGCGCTTCTCTTTGCCCATTAAGTAGAAGGACAAGAAAGATATTCTTGGTTTTCTTGCTCCCGCTTCCTCATCTGCGCTCATCAAGCTAACTTTCCTCTTTGGGAGGTGAAAGAGCGGTTGAAGCGGACAGACCACATCGAAGATATATTTAGATATATACACGGTTACGGTTATCTCGGACTGTGTTCCGGAAAAAGTAGCCTACTTGAGAAAGAAGGGGCGGGCACTCTTGTCTTTCAACCCCACTATACTATTCATAGTTGTGGGGCACTGTGTACTTACAGCCTCTACGATAAGCAAGTGAATGGGGCCGGTGCGTGGCGAACGGAACGGTTCATAAAGCCATTTTTAGCCTTCACTCCCTAAATAGGAATAGAGATACTTTACAAATAGGGCTAATTACTTCGCACCTGATTGTGATAGCCCTCTCGATACCTTATTGGAGCTTTGTAACTAGTGGCCGGTTACATACATATATATATATATATATATATATATATATATATATATATATATATATATATATATATATAACACAGAGTTAAGATCATTTGAGAACTCCAAGATTCATGAAAGCCGAGAACTTTTCTATTTATTTTTTAAAACAACTTTTAGACATCTAATTTTTTTTTAAATTTTATAGGCCGTTAAGTCGATTATTAAGGACTTGATTCTTAACTTTCAGTTACTTTAACTTATGAATCAAATTTTATCTACTTAATCCATCTATATCATAGTTAGATCAACTTGATTTGTTACATGCTCAAATATTTCCTTCCAACTTGTTCTTTTTCTGCGAGGTAGAAACAAGAAGTGGAGGAGAAACTTTTATAACTCTAAGCCATGTCATATACGAGAAGATGAAACAAAAACAGCTAAATTCGTTCAAGAAATGGAACAAAAAGGGTTGATTTACAAACGAGTTCTAGGAAAAGAGTCTAATCCATCATCACCATTTGGCAAGGTCATCTTCTTCATGATAATAGTGACTCCTGAGACTGGGTTTCAATTATGCCAAAATTGAATCATGAATTCAAATTCTGTCAAAATCTAACCTTAAATTCCAATTCAGCTCAAAAGGGTAACTTACTTTTATAAAAAAAATCAACTATTTTTGTGCATTTTTAGAGACTAATGATTCAAAGTAAATAATGCAAGTTACTTATCTTTTAGGAAGTAAGAAGTCCAGCCCCACCTCGTTAGTTGAAGATCCAAAGTCAAAGGAAATAAATTCTCTTCTAGGAAGCAAGAAGTTCAGGTAACAAATAGCAATGTCATTCAAACTTTTAGATTCTGCCAGAATTGAATCTAGAATCTCAATTATGTCGGAATGGAATCTCGAATTTCGATTCTTTCGGAATGGAATCTCGATATTTCCTCTACGATTTGTGCATTTTCTATAATTTTTGGTTATGAGTTTTGGTGCAATTCACAAGTGTGCAAATTTGTACAAAGGACTTTAGTTTTTTCTTTTTCATTTGGTAATGTATTATTCTTTCAGAATGGATTGAAGAAGGAATCAAGGATTGATCATACAAGAGAAAGACTTGGAATTAGTTCAATAACAAGTTACATTGAAGAAGATGAAGTCTAAACAAGTCGATTATTTGGACCATTGAAGAAGATTAAGTGTATTTGTAACACCCCGGTATTCAGGTACTTTCAAATTCATCCTTATGGTTTTAATTTATGTCATTTTGGTCCCCGAATAGAAGGAAGTAGTCATGAGAAGCCCTAATGGAAAAATCAAAATTTGGAAGGAATGGGAGTATGCCATGTGTACGTGTGTACGCTTAGCGTACTAGGGCAATCCGTAGTACGCGGGACGTACGTCTATGTATGTGGGGCGTACTCATCAGACATTTAAAATCGTAATTGTAACGTCCCAAAAATAAGACCATAAAACTTCATTATTGATTTAATAAGACAGTGTTCCAAAAACAACATCCATAAAATTTAAAGAAATAAGTGTATTAGCATCATTTCAAATTAGAGTAAATTATAAAATATAGAAAAATGTGGTGCGTGCTCTACAATCATCTGGAGCTCCCTTGTTTAAAAACCGAAGTACTTGAAACACAAACTGAAAACCGTAAGCACAAAGCTTAGTGAGTTCCCCCAACATACCACATACATAACAAACATACTGCCGAGCATATATGGGTGCTCGACCTACCCTGCCGAGCATATCTGGTTGCCCGACCTACCCTGCCGAACATATCTGGGTGCTCGACCTACTCTGCCGGGCATATATGGGTGCCCGACCTAACCTTCGGTCTATTTCAACCGGATACCAGGTCTATTTCACCCCTACCACTACCATATAATATCATAAGCAAATGATCACAGAAACCTCAACAAATACTGACATACCAGACAATTATCACAAAGACAATCATCTTTACTAAAAACATCAACTAGTGGGCTGACATTGGCGCATTCGATCCACAGATACAGGAAAGGTAACTCACCTCAAAAGAAAGACGAACCCTACAGCTTCTTCTGCTGCGAACTGGCTCTAAACACTGAACCAAAACCCCAAAACTAAACTCCATCAATACACATATCTACACCCAAGCACTAGGCCCATTAATGGCCCAACTAACCAACCCACAATTGACCCAAACCCATTAGGCCCAATCAAGGCCAAACTCCATTAGGCTCACTAAGGCCCAATTCACCATCCAAGGCCCATTAGGGCAAGCCCAGCAAGGCAAGCCCAAACAAAAGTCCATTACTCTAAAATATGTAGTCCATTATGAGACCAAACCAAAGGATAAGTCCAAGACCAAGTTAGCCAACAATCAAAGAGCCCAATACTTGCACAGGAGGTGCTCACATCGTGAGGTCGTGTCTTTTGCCCAGAAACTTCCTCGAACACGCTCTCACGTTATGAGGTTGTTGGGTATTTAGTGTTGCGTCATTGGGCTTATTAGTTAGTTTTTGTATTCGGTATTGGTCCTGTCCAAGCCGTATCATTTATTAGGGTTTAAGTATTTATCACATAATTTTTCTATTAACCTAAACAACTCATAAGAACAAGATAATTCAAATCAAACAATTTTCATGTAATTAGCCTAACCATTAAACTAATACAAAACATGAATCTGTTGACAATTATCTATTGAATTAGATTAGAATGAACATTACCACATCAAAAATAGGTTTATAAATTCAAAAACAGCTAAGAGTAATGATTCTAGTCCAATTCCAGCCTTAAAACTCGAAGATATGCTGTCAGGGGCTCCAAATCGCTGAGTGCAAGAACAAACTCGACGAGTTGGATGAGTTTGTACATGGACTCGTCGAGTCCCTCAA